GCCACTATGAAGTAGTTTTACCACAGTAACTGTTAAGAGTAGCCTTTCAAGAATAGACGCTACGCAAATATATAATGATTTGATCACAGTTCCTTTTCTAATTATGTGACACTGAATAAATGGAAATGATAAAGATTAGATTTGAGGATGTGTTGAAATCAAAATCAAACTTTTTAACCACACAGTGTAATTACATACAAATCAGAGAATTTCGATTTCATTTGCAAACAAGTTTTATTGAATATCTATTTAGTTTTAAGAATTTTGTCTATAGTTGTGAATTTATCTCGACTTAAAACTTTGCACAGAGGATTTTTAAAAGGTAGATATTGCTTGCATTTGTTCACTTCCTGAAAACACACTAAAATGTACAATCATGCAATCTATGAGAGATACTATACACTGCTGTCTAATTTCTAGTTGAATGCTGTGAAATGCAAGTATTATGCTTCCCATTTTACTTCGAAGGAAAGCAACTGAATTATTGATATAAGTATAAAACTTGGGCACTGTGGTAGAGTATAACTCCACAATGGTTAAGATTTTATTTTGATAAATCACACAGTGTTATACAGTTATATATACCAGTTATATATATATATATATCAGTTAATATAACTGTACAACACTGTGTGATTTATCAAAATAAAATCTTAACCATTATGGAGAAAAGCACTGAAACCCATAAGCAGAATACTGTTCATTAAGCAGTCTGAATGAAAAATGAATATGGGACCCTGGACGCTTCCAGAAGGCTATGATGAGAAATTTTCTGGAACATATAAGGATAATGGCTCAGGATTACTGGGTAAAGTATTGGAATAGGGGTCCGAGCAATACCAGTCACTAACATACTCAATCTTTAAGAAATGCGAAGTATTTTGTTGTGATAATCACAAGTTGTACAAACCATATGGATACACATCCCAAAAAATACTAGGAACCGCAATAACAGAATACCTAGTTGTAACAAAATGGGGGAGGTCAACCGACTTCAAAATCTGGTTGCAGGTGCATCGACCAACCATTTACTCTCCGTCAAAACAAAGACACATTTACCACCTACTGTAGCTGTTACTTTTTGACTTGATGGCGAGTATTTAAAGCCATAGACTGAGAGGTTTAACGATAGGGTTTTATCCCTTAAATACATGTATATCCTAAAACACTAGTGATTGCTTTACAGTATATAGTGGTCTTTTTTGGGTGGTATGAGAACCCAGTTACCTTCTTTGAGAATATCTGCTCCCTACATTTTTATCCAACCTAAAAACGTAAATAAACAAGGTTTTTATAAGCTAATTTGATTTCCTGCTAGTAGACAAAGATTTACTTTGGTTGGTTAGGAGTACGAGGAAATCGCAGTATCATTAAGTGAAGATGAAATCTTGTGAACATTTTTTATTAGCAATCTAAAAATTTTAGAATGCGTTTCCTAATTCCTGTATGTAAACTGTTGCTTCACAAACGATCTAAGATTATACATCCTTTGACAATCAGGAGTTAAATGATTGAGCGTACTGACTACTTTGAAAACATGAAAAGTGTCATCTGCCTTGAAAGTTTAACGGTTGGATGACATTTGAGTACAGATATGAAAGGTTTATCTGACTTTTATATCGTGTATCACTCCAGGGTTGCTTTGAATACTAAAATGTTCCACTCGGTCGTACAGTAGGCCGTGGCAATCTCTGCTTTCAAGCTACCAATATAGAAGTTGGACCCAAAGGCTCAAATAAGATATACAAGCTGGCTAACAGAATTATAAATACCTATCAAAAGAGATAACTACAACGTGTGTCACGTTCACCTCAAAGTGCTATGGTATTTAAAGTAGAATCATAGTGGAACAAAACTAAGACATGTTGTGATGAGAGCTGTCTGCTAGCCAAAATTGGTAGACAGCAATTGACGTCAATGTTTACTTCCCAAATCTTGGTCATGAGAAAAACAAGAACAAAGACTTTGCGTGGGCGGATATGATTCGCAGATATATGGTTTGACCTTCAAAGAAATGGCCACAAAGAGATGACAGATTAACTTTCAGCGAGAAAATAACCAATCAGAAGACGCTGTTTCTCTGCTAGTAATAACGAATAATAATGTATATGTAAATATATAAATATCTTTTGATTTCCTCAATAAACGATCTGTTGCCTGGCCCTTGTCTTCTGTCGTTACAATGTTACCAAGGCATAACGTCACTGACAGCTGGTCTGAGTTGTAGACTATCTGGCTAGGATACGAATATATAGTTAAAGACATTAAGTACGTTACTCTTATCTTGGTTTTATTACATGTTGTATTTCCTTCATATTCCCCTCGTTTTGTCCTACAGTAATATGCGTAGTCCGATGATAGTACACAATTATAAGGTGTAAAAATGCGAACCACTAAATAGCTATGCTAGACAACGTTACGTTGTTTATCTCTTTTAGTTTCTCCAAGAATGTGTAATGCAGGTCATATTCTAATAATACGAATGGATTACAATCGAAAAGGATACGGGTAGATGTAGGATAAACAAGTGGGTTGTGCATGAATGTATAATGAAAAGTAGTGTGAATGAAGATCGACAATTTTGACAGATTTTGGATTATAGCACTTCAAGTTTTAACATACCTCAGATTCTGGTAAAGAAAGCTCTACACAGAGATATAGTGACGTGACTTAACTTCTGCTAAAATCTTAAACAATAATTTGTAAATAACACAGATGCATAGCAACTGGAAAAGTAACATTTTGATTCAAGTGAAAAACTACCGAATGGATTGAGAAAGTAATACATGAAACTCCTGACTATTGATTAAAAGTGAACAGTAATAACATCGTGCGTCAGTGGTTCATTGGTGGAATGCTCACCAAATACGCATGTGGTCCGGGTTCAATTTCCGGTCGACACACTCAGTCGGTTTGGAGTGAGGCTAATGACTCCACCCTGTAAAAAATACACCACGGCTACTGAAACTTACAAGCTTACGCTTAAAGCTCTATGCTCCAATCGAAACGCAAAAGAATGAAGAGGAAGAACGTCTTATGTGAACAAGGTGGCTAAGTCAACTTACATAGAAATAAGATTTGCAGAAAGAAAGAAAAACGCTTGACTTACGAGTATAGATTTTTCTGGTTATTTTTATTCCCAGTATCTGCAGGTGGTGGAACTGTTGCACCTGTAATACCAATCTGCATAGCTTTTACAAAGTCTACTGATAACTTTGGTGCTGATGTTAAAGCGATTTGTCGGAGCATTGATTCACCTCGACTACCTGTAGATATCCTCATACATTCATTCGAAGGAATTGATGTTCCTAAATGCATTAAGCATATCGAACATCTAGGTAGAGGTTTTCTACAATGTTGACAGATTGTTTGCTTACCACCACCACCATGCATTTGTAAATTAGACGCGGTAGAAGAGCACGATGTTTCAATGATAGATGAACTAGTAACGACACCAGCAGTAGAAATGTTATTGGCTTGGGTGTTATTTCCACTGGCGCTTGTACCACTGCTACCAGCAGATCCCAATGATGATACATTCACTTTATTACTCTGAGGTTCTAAACGCCAACCACAAAAACCACAGGCAACGAACACCTAGTGAATAAAAAATATTTACAAGTAAATATTTACTTCTCAAAAATATTATTAGAAATGCAGTACTCATGAGAAAATTTGTCCCGACTGCAGTAACAGTCCATCACATGAGTCAGCTTTATACCTTAGTCACAATAATGAATTTTTGTGTATAACCTTAGAAAAATCAACACATTTAATGGACTAGTGAATGAGTTAGGATTATTTCCAGTTTGAAGCAAGGAAGCTGTTTCGTCCCTGTTGGGGGCTTCTCATCAGCACGCGCCCATGATCTTACTAGGGATCGAACACATGATTTTCAGAGTACAAGGCAAATTCATTGATCATTCAACCACCGGAACAAAAGCCAAAGGCACATCGGTTCTAACTTCTGCTTTTCATCAGTTCTCTAAATGGAGTCACTTCGTGATCAAACTTGAAATAAGTCGAATCCCTGAGAACCAACACTGGAAAATCAGAACTATACCTAATGAGGGGAGAGCTTAGAACTCAGTAGACATTACTAGCTACACCAACGTGATCTAAACACCGGACGGTAGTTGCGCTTATTTACAGGCAAATTCATCAGTCAAGTATTCCGTTTAGCTCAACTTAGAAAGCCCAGTCAGTTCAAGTTATCCGAATTAAGGCTAGCTACTCTGGTTAACCGGTATTAGAATCAAATTCAAAATCTGTAAATTGCACAGTTCGAGGTGAAAATTACCCACGATTTCCCTTAGAAACAAAAAATACTCAGGTCACAATAGGTGGTCTTGATACCCATATATGGAAATCGAGAAAGCAAGCAACTACTTATGTGGATCCGATTGACAGTCAAAGAATCCATATTGTATGAGTTTATGTGGTATAACATACGGTGACATGGTATCAATTAGTGGATGACATTTCTAGTGAAATGTATTGCTCATAATCATTTCAATATATTCACATGGTTCTCTAACTTCATCCATATCGTTTTAATCCCTAGTGTCTTTTAGTGCAACTTCGTACTTATTCGCAGCAGATGTTGGATCATTTTGAGAGCAGGTATTTGGTGTTGATTCAATAAGCAGAGATTCAGTGATTAACTTTGCTCTACCTCCACCTAACTATATTACTTTTTCCCTTTCCCATCATATTGCATCATTATTTGCAAGTGCATGCATACCAATGCAATGGTCAAGCTCTTTTCTAGATAACTTAGTGGGGTTAATCATGCTATGTTTCAATAACCCAACTGACCCCGATCTGTTTTTGTCACTAAACTTGATTGTTCTGCGATTAAAACATTTGACTTATTATAAATTATAATATACAACAACATATAAATAATAGGGAAGGGGAAACTAAATTAATATAATCCTTTAAAACGAAATTGGAATGTATGAACTTCCAAATATAATATAATAAACAAATTCACTTACTTGATTAGCACCAGCTACTAATCCAATACTTCGAACTTTAACGCCATATAGCGTATTAGTAGCACTAGATGTGGAAGCATTGCTAACAGTAGGACTACTATTACTATTGGAAGAAGTTGTACTATTGTTCATAGTACCAGAAGCTGCTGTATCAGGTTCAGCAGTTTTCGATGACATCAATAATGAACTTGAAACATGACTTTTAGAACTATTCCCTGATGACATATAATCGGATAAGAGACGTGATTTGTACGTGATATCGAAATCAGCACGATAGAACCACATTTGCCATTGATCCAACAGATCACGGTAACTATGAGGATAAGGTGAATAAACCGTTTTCAAAAAAATATATGTATAATTTTATTACACACATTCAACAGAAAATTGGTCATCATTAATGAATAAATAAGTAAAATTTATATCTGGTTTGATCACAAACTGATATCAGTTTCTAGAACCATTGAAAACTGGACAGTTATCTCGTCCTAGTTTGTTGCTCGATAGTGACTGACTACAGGACAAAGTTACCTGCAGTTCTAGTCGGTCGCAGGTGACATTCGCTGCCAGTGGTGCTAAAATCGTCAATTGATAGAAGTTGGAATTCATGGACTGACCATTGGATTTCATGTTAGTGGCTGAATAGTGAATGAGCTCGCCTTGTAACCTGAAGGTTATAGGTTTGATTCTAGGTGGGTTCATAGGTACGTACTGTTCAAGGGTCCCGAACTAGGAGAAAACAGTTGTTGAATCCACTTCTCAGTGACAGTTGGTTAACATTTTCTGCATTAAATTTAAGAGAATATATTTGTTAGGATCAATGTACAAGGCAAGATGAGTTCCCTTCAGATCAGCTATGACTTTGCAGTTTACATTAATAATAAACACACTCAGACTGATGAGGGTAGATGTAATATTTATTCAGACGAAATAAAATGAACATTAAGAAAATGAGAGAAGTGTCGCATTGATTTCCCTATTTGCAGTAACTTTAAAGAATAATCACTAAACTCAAAGGAATGAATTTGAACAAACCAATCAAAATCATCCCATGATAAACAGGCATTTATTACATAGTAGCGTATATTTAAAGAAAATAAACAAGAATGGTTTAAAGTGGATAAAAGTCCCTTATATGTTGAGGAAAATGTCTCCCAGTGACTCACAGGAACTGTTAATAACATCTGAAGCTAGTTTCTGTAAATAAATTCGTCTTAATGACTGTATATCATATCCCTTTTCGATCCACTTATCATTCTTATGTGTTACTTTAAATGTTTCTAACCACGCCTAAGCCCCTCCAAGTTAAGGAGTACATCTGACACAACATCCCAACATTGCTGATACTATTACACTGCCAAAATCAAGGTGTTTCTGTTTCTACACCAGATGCAGATACTGGACGATTCACAAGCTAATTGCGACACATAAGCAATACTTTAGTTTGCGACAATTTAGACTTTGAAAAGTCGGTTTCTACAAAATCAGTGTAATAAACAATTTATCGTCTATTAAAGATAGCCTGAAATGACAACTACGGCATCTGAATACACATGAATCCATCGCCCGAGAGTGCTTTTGTACACACTATCATTGTTTCTTCACTTATAATAGTTTTTATCCTTCCTATTAAAAATCGGCAGCATAGTTCGTGAACAGCATCCATCCCACCCTATTATCATTGCTTCGAAAAAGACGCTTCTTCACATACTACTTATATCTACTTATAGGTAGGATATAAATAAAATAAAACTGATAAGAAATCCACTTAGACAAGTTCTGGAAACTAATAATTCATCAATAAATCTTTTTTCTTTTAAGATGAACGGTGCAATTATATGCCTTAGAGATCAATGTTTATGCTTTTTCCCTTTACATAGGAGTTGAACTAGTCATGTAGAGGTCAGTGTTTGCAATTAAACATTCAATCTTCGATTTACAAAAGATCACCACCACTGCACATATACGTCACACCGCAATGTAAAACCGTGCTATGAAGATTAGTAATATCCTAACTTTTGTTGCTATTTGTAACGTCAGTGAAAACGATAAGCAAATAACAAGAAGGATCTTATGTTTTTCATTTCATGTTACACCACAATAGTTATAAGACGAAAGCCACCATATTATTATTATTATTATTATTATTATTATTATTATAGTAGTAGTAGTAGTAGTAGTAGTAGCATAACCATTTTCTAAGTTGCCTGATAAATATCACCGGGATAGAGTGGAGTAGTGGGACGTCTGTAATTGCTCTTTCGTAATGTTCAAGATACATGAACCGTACTTACCACTTCCCCAAACCGTAACAGATACACCTTGCTGATGAGTGCCAACTAGCACGAAACCTAGGTCCAAGGCTTTCTGCCGATTGCCTCCAACTATCTAATATCATCAAATCAATGTGCACCGTGATGGCGAGCTACCTAGAATGGTGACCACATTGCGAAACCTGACTGATAGAATTCAGTCTGCACCAAAGAAAGGACTAGACACGCCACACTGGTTACTAGTGTCCAATCAAAAAGTTACACAACATAAATTAAATCGAAAATTACGCGAAGACGATAACACTTACCACTGAACCCAATTCGCTAATCTAGGGCCTCCAAGTTTAATTAGAGTAATCTGTTCTTCATTAGACGATGAATTACGTCCTTCTCCGCCTCCTCCTCCTCCTCCACTGTTAATCGGTGTGGATAATCGTTTCTCCAGATTCACTGAACGTATACTATTATTTAACCCGATCTGTGAACGACGTGGAGTATTCATTCCATTACTATTAGTATCTGTTCGTTTATTATCATTGCTAGTTATTAATGTAGTGGAATCATTCGAAGATAGCTGGCTAGCATGTAAACCAACAATTGCAGCTGATTGTACATCACCAGTTATGTCAACATAATTTTGTATTAGAGTAATAAAATCATTTGAGCATAAACCAGTTAATAGGATAGCTTCTAGTTGTCCACGTTTAACCATAGTACGACAAGTTGAACGTACAAAACTGAGAAGCTAGAAATTTATTTTGAAGTAGAAAATACGTGATAAAATATGGAATAATTTTGAAACACAAACCTTTTTGGATGCATTTCACACATTATATTCAGCCTAGAATGAAAATCATTTGTTGCAGTTTACTATTATAAATAGCACATCTGTTGATAATATGATCAAATCTAAACAGCTGAAGTATAGTTCACAGCTTTGATACATCAACTTCCTGTTGATGAAAGACTAGTATAGGAAAACACAAAATCACCATAAAAGGTTTTCGTTTTCATTTTGACATCAGAAATTTCCTTGTTGGCCATACCAGGCTTATGTTTAATTCACAACTGATACACTCCTGAACCTGACCAGTTTTACTAGCTGGCAGTGTAGAGTGATGCAGATTGATAGGAAGCGGCGAAAACTGAAATCAACATTTCATTCAAGTGAATGGCTGCAAAGGCAGGAATGTCTATTCCTCAAAGCTGGATTTACGTTGTAGACATGAAATAACCTCATTGGACAACTTGTTTAACCTTGGGTCAATCGCAGACCAATCAGATGAACTGATTCTCCTCTGATCTTGCCTAACTTTAATGGGGCTAAAAATGTAAAAAAAAGTTGATTTCCTTATTAAAGGTGCGTTACCGATTCTCTTTTCATCTACTGTTACAGTGATATACCCGGAAAAGAGGAAAGACTTGGCATGAGGCTAGCAAACTGACCTCGCATAAACGACATCACTGCTACTAAAACTTTAAAGTTTAGGACTTGAAGCCCCATATTCTCCTCGACACGCAATGAGAGAATACCAGCTTTATATACACATAAAAATGATAACAAAAGAGTAGAATGTTTAATTCTTATCTAGATACCAAGTGATATACATACACACGTGAATCGGCGCATTTGATGCTTCAGTTGAAATTTAAATATACTATGGTGCAAATTTCTAAGTGATTTCAAACAAGGATTTCAGAACGCCGCTAGAATCACGTTGGATATAAGCAATAGTTGACAGAAGTGAATTCATTATATTCTGAATCACCTAACTTAAAATCTAAATGTTTTGCATTAGCTTACATTTAAAAAACTTAGGTTGTCTATCACACCATCTAATTTATTAGGCACATTTAGACAGAAAGTAATTTCTCGCTGTTCAATAGATCACTGACTGATACTAGTTCATTTTAAAACCTACCAAGAAACCAGTCAAACCAGCACAAATCCAAAACTAGAGTTAATTATTTCCTTCTTAGTGAATAACTACGGAATGGGATTCGTGGAATTCTAATGAGTTGTCCCTGATGCTATCTAACAAATCGCTTGTTACGACAGATACATGCCAATGACAACATTGGACGATATCATATTGCAAATCGCCTGAAATAACAATTATGACGCAGTGGATGCATGGTAACATGATTGGAACCTAGGTTCGATCGCTTAGGAAGTTGTGGGTGTGTACTATTGAACATCCTCAAACTAGGACGAAACAAATGTCTAAAGCTCCATAGTTTTTAACGCTTCTTTAGCCAATGTCAGTTTATGATGAAATATATCTTGAAGATCGATAGAAAAGGTTCAATCTTCCAATAAAGTGTGTCAATCCAAGCTGCAACACTTTCTAACAGTACAGAAGAAGAAGAAGACATGAACATAAAAATATGACATATACAATTAATTGGTTTCTATAGTAGACTGAAAAGAAAAAGCCCCAAGTGGAAACTTTAAAAAGCCTACGATGCTGACAAATAATTCACCTACAGTTGTTGAAATATCCATCAGTATTAGAAAACATTTTCTGAATCACTTGCTTATTACACATCAGTTTCAACCAGCTCCACGACTGTCTACAAGTTTTCTCCATGTTACCTATGGCATCCTATCTGGGTTCCACTCAAGAACCTGGAGTGTAATATTACTAAGGGTAATAAATGTGAGAGTTGATATTGACAGATGTTTAACAAGTTTGCCTGATATTAAGACATACTGATAAACTGCTATTAGCCGAATGGCATTTAGAACATCCCCATCTAACAATACTGTAGTATCACTATGTGTTATATCAAACAAACTTATCTAGTATGAATTAAGAGTTATTAACAATTAAAAAATAATAAATATTACTAACAATATTTGACTTACACTTTCATCATTCAGGTATAGACAAGCAAAAGCAACTCGATCAATAAGGCATAGAGCATCATCATTCTACAAATAGGAGAGAAGAAACCATTCACTTATAAGGAGTGAGATAACAAGAAAAGTGTTACCTAACAATCACTTGCACTTCCACGTAGTTAGCTATGAAAGCAC